AAACGGAAAAAGGGCAAAGTGTGTGAAAAAGTGAGAAAAAACATGAAATTGGTTGTAGGTTCTGCACACTAATATAAATAATAAAGGTCTCTAAAATAATCTCAATGATCTGTTGTTGAATTGTTACCTATTGGAATTGCCTTTGCAGAAATAAAATGTTATAACACAAGGAAATATTTTTCAGATTCTATGGGACGGCATTGGTAGATACATATATAGTTTGCCACATTGTATATTTGGAATGTATTTCTTGTGATTTTGAATGTTATCAGCAACAACGTTATTGCTGAATATAATGTGGGGTGTGTTTTTTCTATCTGTCTGTCTGTCTGTCTGTCTGTCTGTTTGTTCTGTCTGTCTGCCTGCCCACCTGTCTATCTATGTAATCTTAATCACAGGGTAGAAATAGCAGAGTTGTTAATAGTTGCTATCACGTGGAGAGGTCTAGTTGATATAAGTTCACTAGATTAGAGAGGGCCTAGGCTATATAACATACACACATATACTCACACATATAGAATCACATTGTACAGGACAATCATAGTAATAAGAATAAGAACAGATTCAGTGTATCTCTATGAGGAGATGCTGATTGGCCAGGACTGTGTTTGACTTGTCCTGGCTCTGCCCCTGATCTACCACCTTGACAGTCACAGTCCTTGGAAAGCTTTGTGATTGGCTCACAGAATCACCTCTGATGTCAGCGAAGTGGGCAAATCAGGGGCAGAGGCAGCAGCTGCACACTTAAATACAAGTAAGATTTTACTATATTAAAGAGAGCCTGGGGGGGGAGGGGGGTTAGATAGTGGTTTTAACACTATAGGGTCAGGAATACAGGTTTGTGTTCCTGACCCTATAGTGTTCCTTTAATATAACATAGAGAAAATGACAGAAAAACAGAGATCTTGAATACTAGATTAAAAAGAAAAGCACATTGTAAATTGACATATGGGTATTCAGTAAAGTGGGAATTCAGAATGGATGAGAAATAAACTTCAAAGTTAAGGCCAAAAAAGCCAAAGCTAAAACCATAGCTGGTTTGAAGAATTTTTCCAATTCAGCTATTTTGGCCTAAAATCTTAAATTTGAATTGAAAACATACATTTTGAATACTACTAATTTACACTTTATAACCCTCCTAGTATCTGCAAGAATGAATTATATCAACATTCGGAATCACCAGTGGCGTACCTACCACGGTCGCAGCTGCAACCGGGCCCCTCACTGCAGAGGGCCTGGCCACAGCCACGACCCCTGCGACCATTGGTCACCTAGATGCCACCTCCTCCATGTTCCCCCTGTCATACAGGGGCCCAAGAGGGGCCGCTGGCCACCTAATGGACCCCCTGGCAGACGGCAGAGTTCATGTAAGACGCAGTGAGGGAGCGGTGTTCTCTCTGCTCTGCTCCCTCGTGCGCCGTTTGCTGATGCAAGGAGCCGGAATGTGATGTCATATTCCGGCTCCCGGCATCCGTAGACAGCCGGCGAGGGAGCAGACCAGAGAGAACACAGCTCCCTCACCGCGCCTGACAGGGACTCTACAGCCCACCGCACTGAAGCCCGATCCACGTAGGGAGGCTGGGCTGACATTTAATATGAATAATTTGTGTGTCTGTAAGTGTATGTGTCTGTAAGTGTATGTGTGTCTCTGAGTGTGTGTATGTGTCTGTAAGTGTATGTGTGTCTGAGTGTGTCTAAGTGTGTATGTGTCTGTAAGTATGTGTGTCTCTACATATCGGTCTCTGTGTGTGTGTGTGTGTGTGTCTCTGTATGTATGTGTCTGCATGTGTGTGCGGGGATGTGTGGGTAAGGAGGTAGATGTATGGGGGGCCCCAGTGCAATTTACGCACCAGGGACCCGTGGTTTCTAGTTACGACTCTGGGAATCACCATATAATCTTTGGTATAATCTGAGATTGGTCGTTGGTATTCTGATAGTATCTATGTTGAACTCAGCGAGGCTGCATTTACAGAATGCACGTTGATCATATGCTGTTCTGTATTAGGCTTCTGGGTTACATATAAATAAGAAATAAACACGTACTTTATGAGGTATAGCTAGTATGTTATCTGTGACACATATTTTTGAATGCAATCAAATTTAGCTTCACATTCTCTATGGGGGATACGCTGTGTTTGTTGAATTCTGTTCTAGTTAATTGAACATGTGGTTGCTTGATTGTTTGCATTTTAATTTCTTACTTGGTCAGGATGAGAACCACTTTTATGAACTGCAACGTATTTAGCTGGAATATAAATGCTGCAGGTTGTTAATCAGGTGATAAATCAGTCAGGAATCCACAGCATATAAATGCTATGTTCTACAGGGCGGCATGCTTGTGTGCTGCTAATTCACATAATTCACATGATGACATCTTAGGGGAGATTTATCAAAGCAAAGCAGGTGCAATACTGAAGTAAAGTGGCCAATAAGACGCTATCACCACGGAAACAGACTGTATCTCAACACTTTTCACCCACAATGGCACCTGTTTAACCATGATGCATCTTCCCCTGCATGACCAGGAAATCATGGATGATATGGCAACCCTGTTTTAATGGTGGGTTTTTGTTTTGTTTTTGAATTTTGTTTTCTCTTCCTTTCTTCACTTGCATGTCTCGATCATGATGTATCATTTGGATACACTTACTAACAACCTACCAGTTTCCTGTAGGTAATGCTAAAAGTAACAGTTTATAGTTTATTTGTTGCCAGTGTGAGTCTTAAAGGGTTACTCCAACCACCATGACCACTTGTCTTTTGAGAAGTGGTCATGGTGGTAGGGGTTATATGTGCATCATTTCTGCTTGAAACACTGCACATACTGAGATATCTGTGATTTAGTAGCGGGAGCTATTTACGTCCCCGGCGTATGTGACATTGTCAGCCCGGTCTCTGTTCCGGACTGCTAAATGTCAATTTTGTGCAAAAAATATGTATTGAGCTTTTCCCTTCTCCCACCATCCCTCATTGTGTTCAGCCCTCCCTGCACCCCTTTACTATTAATAGTGCTTCTTTTTCTTTTTTCTTTAAAATTTGAAATCCCCTCACTTCCTCTTTCCCACACCACCTTCTCCCTTTTCCAGCTCGGAGTGCATGTGCTCTGTGCCGGTGAAACAGCCCAATCAAAGACTTCTCTGTTAGAAGCCTTTGATGGACTGCGCAAAGCCCTTGCTGACGTTGGTTGGAGGCATGGAAAGAAGCGCTGCATATAAGTAAAACACTATATATTTGCAGCTTTTACTGCAAAATATAGGGGAAGGGGGACTTGGTAAATAGTGTCCCATAGGGCATTTTACATAGAAAAATTAAGTTTAAAAAAAAATAAGTTTGTGTGTTGTAACATAGCATCTTTTTTTGTATTTTATTTATTCAAATTACTTTTGGCAGAAACCTTTTCGCAGCATTTGCAAGCTCTCCCATCTTTCCCCGGCACAGACTCTGTCTTCTTATTTGGAAGTCTCTGTGCTCATGTACATGTTATCACAGCTTTCCTATGCATGGCGTAGTGATTATGCCCCTATAGAAGGCTGTCAAACAGTTTTAGAACAGGTCAACTTCTTACTTGGTGTTTGCCGGCATCTCTCCCAGCCAGGGCCGGCGCGTCAATCATCCATGGGGGCGGAAATGTCCGGGTGGCCAGCAGGAGGGAAGCTCACAGCGTTCCTCTCCTGCCAGTCACTGCTCATATTGTGGTCAAGCGCCAGCAACTCCGTCCAGCCTGCCTTCCACTCTGCAGTGCTGCGGCCTGTGCAGAGGGAGCGGGGATATGAACACGTCAACATTACATACAAACACACCTCTGTATTAGACACCAAAATTATATATAAACACACCCCTGCATTCAGAAACCAACATTACACATAAATGCATGCTCTCATTCAAACACTACATACAAACACACCCCTACATTCACACAAACATACTCTATACAAAAACATGCTTACATACCAACACACAAATACTGCTCAATGCTAAATGCAATCCTGCAAGCATGGGGAATCATTAAAGCCCCAGCTTTCAAAGCATTGTTGAAGTTGCACAACAGATGGGGATCTATCTTTTAGCCACCCTGTGTATATACACAGACAGTCATACAGAGACATACAGTCTGTATATCTCTGTATGACTGTGTATGTTTGTCTCTGTATGACTGTCTGTGTATGTATGTCTCTGTATCACTGAGGATGTATGTCTCTATATGTCTGTGTCTGTTTTTCTCTGTGTGCTTGTGTCTGTATGAATGTACCTCTGTGTTTGTATGACAGTGTACCTGTATGTGTAGATTGTATGACTGTGTTTGTTTGATTGTGTGCCTTTTATAACTGTATATCTTTGTGACTGTGTGCCTGAATAACTATGTCTGTGCTTGTATGGTTGTGTGTGTGTGTGTCTGTATGTTTGTTTTTGTGCATATATGTATTTTTGCCTTTATGTCTATATGGGAGAAAGATAGATAGGAGCTGGGGGGGAGAAAGAGAGATAGGGGTTGGGGGGAAGAAAGACACAAAGGGGCTGGCGGGGAAGTAAGAAATACATAAGAGGGGTTGTAAAAGACACACTAAAGGGGGGTGTAAGGCACAAAGGGACAAAAAGGTGTTAGACATTCAAGAGAGGGGATATAAAACACTAATGGGGGTAAGAAATTCAAAAGGGGGGCTACGAGACAGAAGTGAAGATGCATTTTTTTGAGTGGGGTGAGAGGGTGGGCAGCAAAATGCATATTTGCCTGTGTAGTCAAAAATCCTTGCACTGGCCCTGCTCCCAGCCACTACTACTTCAGATAGAGAGCCAGAAGCTCTTTGTCTGAGCTAATACCAGTTTTGCAGTGCTTATCTCACTGGCCATGAGCAATTTGCTGAACCTTTAACCCAATGAACTGCCAATGGAAGAGGCAACGGAGGTTCTTTTACTTAAGGACTTCTGGCTATCTCTTGGAAGTAGTGGAGGTGAGTAGTGGCCCCCAGGTACCAATGATTTGCAAGCTTACAATGGGGAGATAGTAGAACACTCATGGTACCATAACCACTACAGCCCACAGTAGTGGTTACGGTATGTGGAATGTTCCCCAAAAGAGTTTAAAAATCACCAATAGTCCAGGTTTTATCAATATAGATATTGAACCAGAATTGGGCCCATAATTGAGCAACCCCTAAACACTAGAACATTGATGGCAAATATCTTCTGAATCCATTCAGCAAGACAGACATTTAGTTATTCTATCAACAAGGCCCAAAAAGTAATGAAGGGCAAATAATCTTTTCAGTAACAATCCATGTAATAATTGGCAAACCATTTACTCAGCATATATATTCACTGAATTGCAGCAAATTTAAAATCTAGATTGCTCACAACACGGCTACTTTTGGTTACATTTCCCTGTTCACATTCTCATTTGATACAATTTGGAGTTTTATAATAACTTTGAAACATTCATTTGTTTCCTAATTACTTATATTTCAGCAGATTTCTTGTTTTTTACAGTCTAACTGGAATTGATTATGAATTGGACAATGAAAATTGCCCCTAGACAAACTGAAAAGCTTTTTCAATTGGTAGGAAGCTCACAAAAATGTGATTTAAATCAGAAGAAATGGCTATTGAGAATTCTGGTGTGTATAGTAAATATATGGAACGATTGTCTGGGGTTGCTGTGACTCTCATGCAGAGGGAACTTGCTGGCATTTCGGATCTGGACTGCCCGTATGGGTGGGACCAGTCTGATATGTTCTTTCTGTAATGGCACAAGATGAGCTAAAACCAGCTTGAGATCTGAGCGGGGACCCACCGAAGGGCAGGCTATTTCAGCTGCTGCCCATTCTCAATATACTCTTGCGCCCCGTTTTTTTGCTCTCTATAGTAAATATACGTGTTTATTCTTTTCAGAACGTAACAAGTCTAATTTCCTCTCTGAGTGAAGTCACAAGTTTAGAAAAGAGTTTTGTATTATTTAGGTCTAAAAATGTTTCCCCAAAATCTGTGATGGATAGTATAACAACTGGCACATTTTTGCTGTGTTCTGCTTACCTTAACCCCTTAAGGACCAAACTTCTGGAATAAAAGGGAATTATGACATGTTACACATGTCATGTGTCCTTAAGGGGTTAAAGTGGTATTGATTTCACATCTCCTCATATAGTTTCAGGACTTTTTTACATTACAGATTTATGGCCTTATCTTATGTTTCAAAGTGTCATAGCTAGTTTTTATCTATGTTCAATATTATATTATATTTCTTGATGCAACCCATTTTAATTTGTGTTTTTTATCATTTAGATTTTTGGGGGTTTTGAGGGAGCCCCCTATCTTCAGATGTGCTGCTCCCCAAGCACTGATCCATTGTCCCTGCACTTTTGTCCCTGCGCTGTTCCCCCTGCAGGCACTAACCGGGGAGCGGCAAAAGGGGGGCCGCCCCAAAATGCCCTGTGTTCCCCCTGTCATGGGGGGGCCACCTGATTAACCCACCCCCCACCGGCAGGCGGCTGTCTCCCTGTCACATGCGGCGAGGGAGCTGTGTTCTCTCTGCTCTCTCGCGCACCGATGCTTATGCCGGGTGCAAGAATATGACATCATATTCTGGCTCCCAGCATCAGTAGACAGCCCGCGCAAGGGAGCAGAGCAGAGAGGACACAGCTCCCTAGCCGCATGTGACAAGGAGACAGCCGCCTGCCTCACTGCAGCCCCACTGGACCCCAGGGACCCATCCATGCCAGCTTTCCCAAAAGCAGTTAATTTTTAATAGTATTACTAATCTGTATATATGTCTGTATGTGTGTGTGTATGTATGTCTGTTAATGTATGTATGTGTGCGTGTGTGTCTGGTAGTGTATGTATGTGTGTGTGTGTGTATGTCAATGACTTTGCTCCACTAAGGGAACAGTAGTGAATACATACTGCTTCCACATAATCTGTATGAAAAGCATTTTTATAAAAAGATATATGCAAAGGTGGTCATATTTGAATAAGCCTGTAAATTAACAAACTTTACTATAAAAACAAAATCCTGTATTACCTTTTTGAAAGATCTGCACACGAAACACTATTCTTCTGAGGGCAGGCAACAGTTAAAGAAATCAGGGTCTGTTAGATGAAAACATCTATAAATTAAATTGCATGTTAGCATACGCAATTTGCTGTTCTGCAATTAAGATAAACATAAGAATGTAAGCTTATAGAGTGCATTTAACCATAAGAGATACTAAATATAAGACACAATTTTTATTAATTAGAACTCAGCAATTTTCTATGATAATGCACTGTACAGAATAGTGAAATAATGAAACTGGCCATATAAATATATAAATATATATATATATATATATATATATATATATATATATATATATGTGTGTGTGTGTTCTCTTCAAAAAATATTTTTATTTTGAGCTGCTAGAGCTAGTTTGTGTATTTTGTTTTTTTTGTGGGCGAGGCAGGGATTTAAAAATAAAGGATTTTTGGTATCTTGTGTCTTACAATAGAAGTTGGGAAAAGAATATGAGAGCAGTATTGTCAGAAATGATGTAATGATATATAATTATTGTCACGAGTCCACTTACTGTACATTTACTAGCTTGAATGTTTCCTTGCTCAATGGCTGTGGGCATTTTCCAGTTTTTAAAAAAAAAAAATGTTAACCCTGTAATACCCAATTTAACATATTTATTTTTTGGTACAGTGGGTATGCGCAAGCTGTGTGTATCTGCCTATATGTCATTTTGTGCATGCATCTGTACAAGGAAGACTTCTTTGCTTTCTCACTCTCTTTGTCTATTAGTGATGTCGCGAACACGAAATTTTCGGTTCGCGAACGGCGAACGCGAACTTCCGCAAATGTTCGCGAACCGGCGAACCGCCATAGACTTCAATGGGCAGGCGAATTTTAAAACACACAGGGACTCTTTCTGACCACAATAGTGATGGAAAAGTTGTTTCAAGGGTACTAACACCTGGACTGTGGCATGCCGGAGGGGGATCCATGGCAAAACTCCCATGGAAAATTACACAGTTGATACAGAGTCTGGTTTTAATCCATAAAGGGCAGAAATCACCTAACATTCCTAAATCACAATGAATATGGATTGACACCTGACATATTGACACCTTGACATATGGATTGACACCTGTCCTCAGAGCCCCTGATGCACATGGACACAGAGCAGAATAGAGACTGGTCCCCCTACATAGGGTCACTTGGCAGATATGGATTGACACATGTCCTAAGAATCCCTGATACACACTGACACAGAGCAGAATAGGGACTGTTCCCCCTACATCGGGTCACTTGGCAGATATGGATTGTTATGAAGATGGGATGTGTAGTTTTAAAGTTACAGTGTATGGCTAAAAACTGTATTTTTACTGCCTGTGTTTAATTATGTTAATCTCTTCCCAAACGTCATTTCGTTCAAAGTGGAGAGAATGTTAAAAAAATATATTTTTGTTCGGAGTGTGAGAAATGCTTTTCAGCCGCTTCTAATCTTAAGCATCATTTGAGGAGCCATACAGGAGAGAAACCTTATTTGTGGTGTGTTTAGTATTGTTCTGATCAGTTTAATACCTTCCGCGTCTCCTATCAGTGGACGTGTATATGGCAGCCATTTTAGGAACCGTACACCTGGGACCCGAGCAAGGTCACCTCGTTCAACAGGCTTGCAGCGTATCCTCCAGGAAGAAGAGCCTGAACCCTTACCGGCTGCACGTGTCTTACCTGTACATGGAAAGCTGCTCTGGTTCCTTGATGAGCCAGCTGCCCGTGAGTTAACATGTCCCATGGAGAAGCACTCTGTCCTGTAAAGCCTCACCAAAAAAAAGGAGTGGTGTGTTTAGTATTGTTCTGATCAGTTTAATACCTTCCGCGTCTCCTATCAGTGGACGTGTATATGGCAGCCATTTTAGGAACCGCACACCTGGGACCCGAGCAAGGTCACCTCGTTCAACAGGCGACAACATTTGTCCCTGGAAAACTATCCTGGACATTATGTACAATTTGTATGGATATGGCAGTGATTTCTGTAACAGGGAGATGGAAGAAGAGGCTTGGTCGGTCCTCTTACTGCAAATTTGGGGCACTGCGCGGTCAAGCTAATGTGACACCAGATAGGAGTGGTGTGTTTAGTACTATTTTTATCAGTTTAATACCTTCCGCGTCTCCTATCAGTGGACGTGTACACGGCAGTGATTTCTGTAACAGGGAGATGGAAGAAGATGCTTGTCGGTCCTCCTAACTGGAGACTGTGTTGCTGTACGGGTGGCAGGTGGAGCCATTTATAAAGTACCCACTGCTTTGCAGACCAGGTATCAGTGGTCAGATGGACCCTTGCCCCAACACTGTGTGCCAGACATGCCATTACTTTCTTTTGCACAGTCGAGTACAGGTTGGGGATTGCCTTTTGCGCAAAGAAATTTTGGCCGGGTACCTTCCACTGCGGTGTCCCAATAGCTACAAATTTTTTGAACGCCTCAGACTCCACCAGATTGTATGATAAAAGCTGGCGGGCTAATAGTTCAGACAAGCCAGGTGTCAGACGCCGGGCAAGGGGGTGACTTTCTGACGCTTGCAGACAACTAACTGCTATTCAATCTATAACAGTGAAAAAAGTTTTGAAGCCACAGTGCAGCACCAGAGGGCCTAAAAATTAGGCATGTACACATGCCTGAAAAATTCGGTATTGTTGCAGCCGCTGCTGTAGCAGCGGCCAGAAAAATTGATGTTTGTTTCACAGGCAGAAAGTGCCCTAAAACATGGCGGCTTGAACCCTAGTTGGTGGCGGATAAGTCACGCAAGTCAACCGGCATTCAGAGCTAAAATACAGCAGCGTGTGGACCATTTTTAGCCCAAGGCAGCTCATCTCATCAGGCCTTTTTTACATAGGGTCACTTGGCAGATATGGATTGACACCTGTCCTAGGGATCCCTGATACACACTGACACAGAGCAGAATAGGGACTGTTCCTCCTACATCGGGTCACTTAGCAGATATGGATTGACACATGTCCTAAGGATCCCTGATACACACTGACACAGAGCAGAATAGGGACTGTTCCTCCTACATAGGGTCACTTGGCAGATATGG